CGGGTGTGGGCGGGTGTGGGCGGGTGGGCGGGCCCATCGAGCGGGCAACCGAACAGACAATCGGGGGCTGGGGTGGGTGTGGGTGTGTGTGGGCGAGTGGGTGTAGGGGGTGCGGGGGGGTCGGGGTTGGATGGAGTTGGCTGGAGTAGCAAGAAGTCTATGTGGTTACTCCATGTTACTCCTCTCTTCCCCCGAATTCCGTTTGTGCGTCGCCTGATGTAGTTGAAGGGGGCGCTCAGCGTGGTGCCAGCAGCCTTGGAAAGCTTTCGGCGTCGAGATTCCTTGCTCCAACCCTTCGGAATTTGAAAGACGGGCACCCGGCTGCAAAGAGGACAGCAACACAGAAGTCATGTGCAGACCTCGGCTCTGGGCCTCGAAAGGTCTTGGGCTTCACGAGAGAGAGCGTGGAGGCGGAGCGTGGCCGCAGGCCGAGTCTCCCGAGTCCCGGGCCGCTTGCCTGCACAGCCCCGGCAACGTATCTTTGTGGCACGTGTATCCTTGTCTGGTGCGCACTTGCCTGGAAGAACTTTCGCAAAGAGAAGCACAGTCCGAAGGTTCCGTCGCGAAATGCCGTCGAAATGATGCCTTTCTTCATGCAGTTTCACTGGCAGACGCGTGATGATCTGTATCGTCCACCTCGCAGGAAAACCATGGGGCCAACCTTGCGCAGCATACGCATTGCCTGGTGGGAAAGCGGCTACAAACGTTGCCACATCTTCTTCAGCGTCCCTTTGCTCTTCATCAAAACACAAAAAAATCTGTGTGCTTCCCCCTATCTTGGTCTAATGGAAGCACCAGCAGAAAGGATTGGCTTCTGCTGCGTAGCCGGACTGAGGAACAGACAGTCTGATTGAAGGATCGTCGCACATCGTCCTCCTTCCACATCTGATACCTCCGCCACCGACACTTTGCCGAGCCCTGACTCTCACGAACTCCAGCTCATAGCTCACTTCACATAGCTCAAAGGATTCAGGAGGACGCCGCACAGCACTCCTCCCGCCTGCGGCTCGCTACAGCTCCGACGAAAGACACGCTTTCCACGGGCTCCGACCTGTCCGCCCAACGCCTGAGAACCCGTGGCGCGCACGCACAGCTCCTGCACTCGGGCTCCGTGAACACAGGCAAAGACACGGCCGAGGGCCCCGTGTTTCTCCTCGAGTGGAAAATAAATGCCCGTCGAGAGAGACCGCTGTGTCAGCGTCTGTGTGATGCCTGCCGGCAAGAGCGAAATGGCACTGCGGCTGCAGCAAAGCACAGTTGCGGCCTCGATATGGTTCTCGCCAGTTGGCCCTGTCACGGTCCGTGGAGGCTTTGAAGAAAGCAACTGGACTATCAGCAATCGGACGCTAATGCACAGGCTGCTTCCAGCTCTAGCACTGCGGCCACATCACAAGGCCTGTTGAAAAACGGCCGCCCGTTCACAATCGCCAGGTAAAGTGCACGATCCTGCTCGAAGCTTTGGACTCCAATAAACAGCGGCGGCGAAGTGAAAGTGGCCTGGGGCCCTGGCCCACGGATTCAGCAGAGCTGTCGTAAAGAAGCCGGCAGCGATGCCGCACTGGAACGAGGCGGGCGAGGTGGGAGCTGCCTTCGGCCTAGCACGAGCTCTTCCCCGTAGCCCCGTAGCATGCTCTTCTCTTGACTCTCCGTCCTCGGGTTTTCACTGAGCCTCCCTGGCCCAACATTTTCTGCGCCGCTTAACTTCTGCAACTCTGGGAATAACCGCTGAGCTCGCTGGCTGGCCAGAACTTGAAGTGGAAGCCATGGCTCGCCATGTGATGCGCAGCAAGACGGCGTGCGACGTGTGGTTGGGAATGAGTTGCTAACTCAACGCGATATGGGCTGAGCGAGGATGCTGCTATCAGAAGACTCCCGATGCGTTGCCTGCTCCTGTAGACATCTTTTTTAAGCACGAATGTTCATTGAACCTGGACCTTCCGGCATATGGCGAGCGAGAATTCATGTGGTGCGATGCACGGGAGTCCTCAGCAGAAGGCAAGCCTGCTTTCTCTGGCGAGTCCTGCAAGCGAACTGCTATGAAGGGCAGCCCAGAGCAGTTCAGGCTCCTGGCGCCTTCATCGTGAGAAGGGCGAGGAGTCCAGCGAAGACGGCGATGGCTCCCGGGCCAAGCATCCCGTAGCGCCACCCGAACCTCGCAGCCAAACCTCCTCTCAGAAGGGAACGGAACGGAAGAGAAGGGAACGCTGTCGAAAACTGACATAGGCTGACACTGTCCACTGCTGCAGCTCCGCTTCGGGCAGCTCCGCTCCTGCCAGGAGTGGAATCAAGAAGCCACCGATGTTGTGAGACCTCGCAGCTTGCAGAGCTCAACAAAAAAATCCCTAGAAGAAAAATCTCCAAGCTCCCGGCGCATTCCAACTACTCCACCACTTCCCGCGACTTCTGGCCTGGCTTCGGCAAAGCGCCAAACGAGAGCCTCGGAAGTCCTGGAAGTTGCTGGGGGCTGTGCTGGAAACCAGTTCACCAGCATCTTGTTGCACGGGGTCGCTCCACAGCCCTGGTGCAACTCGCATTACCAAGTGTGCAAGGCCCTGCAGGTAAATACAAGATACTCTCCTGGAAAAGACCATTCAGAACCCAGATCGCAGTGAAGAGGGGAACCTGCCAAATCCGCGCCCCTCGGTCAGCTTTCATGGAGCCCTGAGGCTTGTCACAGAGCACCGCACCGTGCTGACGGCGGCAAAGGCCATGTTAAGAACTCCAGTGAGCATAAGCCCGAGAGAAAAAATCAGCACCTCAAGCAAAGCCATGGCTCCCGGTAGCAATGTGACGATGTGACGCGACCATGTATGTTGTCCTTTCGCCACGGCACCGGAGATCCCAGCAAGTCAGACAGAACCCCGGACCTTACAACGATCGCTCTGGGGCATTTGGGCGCAAGATTCGTCTCCTGCTCCACGAGCTGAGCCCATGGCAGAAACTTGGAGTTCATATATGCCTGGCAATTTTATGCTTGCTCATGCACATCTCTTGCATGGCATATGCACACCAAGCTGCTTCCCGTGCAAAGGCAACCAGTGCACGCAATGTATGTGCATGCGTGATGCGACGCACGCACTGGCAGCGCAAGCCCTGCTTTTACACTGCAAGCTGAAATGTGATCTAAGCGGCTCGGGATCCCATCGATCCCGTGCACCTACAGATTTAGGGGGTTTGGGGTTTGGGGT